TAAATAACAGCATTGTCATGTTTTTTTGAATGCTGACTTAATTTAGAATATTTAACTTGCTTATGGAAATGAATCTGGAAAAATCAGAAAGAGGCAAATTGCCAACCATGATTGAAAACAAAAACAAAAACAGAGCCCTAATTGAACTTTTGGTTTCTTGTAATGTTCTATTTTGGACTTCAAATTCTGTTTTTCTCAGAGGCACCAAAGACTACAAAACAACCTTTGCTAATGGTGGAAAATAAAAAGCTTCTTGGGAAACAAGACTTCATCATGCAAGAGTTTATAAGTGTATGTCCAGTTTTTTTTTATTAAAAAAGGAGAAAAAGCCTTTCTTGAGTCAGAAATATTTCTCGAACTACTACAGAATAACAATTATGACTCTCCACTTTTTATTTTTGTTACTAGGTTGAAAAAGATGACTCTCTACAATGCCTACACCAGAGGATATTATTCTACAAATAAGGGCCCAGCATGACATTTATGAGAAAGCTGGGGTCCTCCTGTGCGAAGCTGATTGGTGGTCAGCCAACGGGCTCCAGGGCGCTTCGAATAAAGGCACCTTCTCCACTGGGCTGTTCAGACGCAGGGCAGAGGGTTGCCTCTGCCTGTGGAACTTGAGGACGTCCTCGGCTCCCGTCACAGCAGCACAGGTCTGTGGCCAGCGAAGAGAAACCAGACTCTAAAAACGAAACATCTTCTTCCCCAATGCCCTTCCATCTTGGTCATCTACTGCTTCTGCATGCTACAGATTCCCTCCTCAGGTAAGGGGATCCTCATCAGATCCCACCTGGCCTGAAATCTGAGGAAAACTGGGAGCGACCTGGATCCTTCCAGGGCGGTTTTGGAGGGAGCCAAGATTTCCCCCCTCCCCCCATTTTCACCCTCTTGCTCTCTGGCTTTGAATTTGCTTCTAACCTTTAAGAGAGGATGGACAGAGCTAGATGCTGCAACCTTTTACCAAAGGAGACTTTTCTCTGTGGGACCGGCGTTAGTTAAACTGCTCCTACCCCAGGGATGCCCTGAATACGTGTCTCTGACACTGTGCAGGGCGAGGCACGCCCCGGCGTGAGTTGGGGGAAGGTCCCACTTCTTAGCCGTTTGTGCTCCCTGGATTCTGAAGAGACAAGCAGTAACACTGAGTTTACAGCACCAAAGACTGAAAATTGATGGGCAATTGGAGAGGGGCGGGGAGGAGCGCTCACAGGGGAAAGGAATCTTTTCAAAGCCTTTCCCGTGGGCTCCAGGGGGCGGGATCCCAGAGTGCAGCGGAGGCCAGCGTCTCCCCGGGGCTGTGGCGCTGTCCGAGGTGCTGGCCGGGTGCGGGCGGCGCGTCACCAGCTTCTGAGAACCAGCGCGGTTGTAAGGAACCAGCGGGTGGGGTGAGGGTCTGTGATGGGAATCAGTTACTATCATCTCCGTAGGATGCAGGGAAGTGTGCGATGGCAAAACAGCTACAGTTGAAAACACGGACTATTTCAAAATTTTAGGTTTTTCCATTAGAATTTTGATTTAGGGGAGTAGAAAATCTTTGAAAATATATTGAAAGAGAAAGCATATTTCAAACAGTATGTTTTGTCATGTCTTACAGTGCTTATAGTGCAATCGCAAAAATTGCAAGGAACTGTGGAGGTCAGCTGGGCTTAAGCTCTCACGGGATGCAGGAATGCCCTGTATGGTTTCCCTGCAGAAAGTCTCCCAGATTTGACCACTTTCAGTGACCTCCAACTCACTGCCAGCCTAAGACAGCCAGCCGCTGCCTCTACTGGGCTCCAATAGAATGCTAGACTTTTTTTTTTTCACTTTTGGAAATCTGTTATTACCTTTTGTTTATCTTTCTCTGTATTTATATCCACCTCCCTATTTTTCCTGTTTGATTTTATATTTCCTGAGGGTAGGGCTGCTGAGGTCTTTGCCTTTGTATTAACACAGAACCTGCCAATAAATCCTTGTAGGATTGGTTTGCACTACTTTGCATTATTAAATGATTCCAGACATCAAAAACTTCTTTATACTAAGGTGAAATATGATCACATGTCACTTCTAACCATTAGCCCTAGTTCAGATTTTGGGGGCAACACAGAATAAGACTAATATCTCCTACTTATGACAGTTCTCAAAATAGTGGAAGGCAGTTAACATACACTTCCTAATTTTCTTCTTTCCAGAGAAAACTATGCTCAGTTACTTGAACTCTCCCTCATATCCTGTCATTTTCAAGTCAGACTATTACCTTTTGAGGTTTGGGCACAATTATTCGAATCTAGCCTAATATTGTTTTAAATTTCTCTTGGCTCATAGAGAGAATGCAGGGAGTGAAATACCACTGTCTTTTTTTTTTTAATATAAACTATTCTTGAACCCTATATTCCTTATCCCACATTTTAAAAAATCCAAGTTCATGGTTTTATATTTATTCATTTAATTTCATCTTGTTAGTCTTGACCTATCCAATCAATCTTTTCAATTATAGTATAGCTATTCCTCCAAGTGTATCACATGCAAATGAGAAGAGGTGTTGATTAAAGTCAGACAAAGGTTGTTGACATGGTCCAGCAACATGCTGGTAGCAAATTTTCCCAGAGCCCCACCTCTGGAGAGTCTGTGCAGAGAGACAGGTATTTGTTTATCTTAAAAGTTGCAAGAGTGTACTCTTGCTATAGTGGTGAGTCATTTTTAAAAAGCTCCAAGGGTGATTATGATGCAAATACTTTGTTCACACCATCTCCTGTTATTCCATCCTCATAAATTCCATCAAAATACAAATTAAGTTGTTATCTTCATATTTTCCCCCTTTCCTGAATTGCTAATGTCTTTACTGAAAACTGGTAAACTAAAAAAATGCCATTTTAAATTAATTTTGTACAAATCTCAGATTTGCTAGTGGTAGGTAGAAGTGTGTTTTCTTTGTAAATCTTTTTAACAGCATTGTATCCTATCTTACCTTCCCATTGACCTCTTTTGTCTGGTTCTTTGGTGGTTTATTGTTATAATAGAACTTCTGTATTTTTTTCATTGTAGAGATTCATTGTAAAGATTTGGAAGTAAGTGCTATACCTTCTTTCTCTAACTGATATTTTTATGATTTCTCACAACAGGACTTCCACAACATTTGGCCGATCTTCCGGATGGCTTGGATATTGTGCAGCTTGAGGTAGCCTATCATTCAGTAATGTGAGATTTTTGTTTAGTCTGGGCCTCAAAAGCATCATGTGGATAATGCTGACTTAAAACTATTTGTACTATTTTAAGATCAGATTTTCGGTTGCAGCAGAAACTCACTGTTGCCGTTTTCATATTCTCCTTTAATGCACCCTGAGAGTTGTGTTGAAAGTCACTGCCACTCTGTGAGAAGAAAATGCAAGGTTCATAAATGGGACAGTTTTAGAACTTTAAACATGTTGTAATAGAATTCTATTGACTAATTCATTTAAAAAATTTTTGTTGATACATAATAGATGTACATATTTTCAGGGTACATGTAATATTTTGATCTATTCATATGTATAATAATCAAATTAGAGTAATTGGAATATTCATCACCCTAAACATTTATCTTTTCTTTATGCTGGGGGCATTTGAATTATTCTCTACTAGCTATTTTGAAATATACAATATATTATTTTTTACTATAGTCACTCTACTGATTTAGCAAACTGTAGGTCTGTTCCTTCTATCAAGCTGTATTTTTGTACCCATTAATCTACCTCTTTTTATGTCCTCCTCGCTGTGATTCATTTTCTTCATTTTGTTTTTTAGCGACTGGTGTATTGTCTGAGTCAGCGGGCAACTCTTTCTAGCCAACCTAAGGTAAAAAAAATTAATATACATATGATAATTCTTGTAGTCATAACAGTGCATTTGTTTATACCATAATTGATATCTACAATAAATACACTCTTTTGCTACCTGCAGGAGAATGCTGTGTGTATGCGTAAATGTGTTTATGTATGAGAGAAGATAGTTTTAGGAAACAGCATGTGAATCTTTTAAATGTAAATTATTATAAAATATTGGTAGTTCATGTGTATTCTTATAATTATTGTAATTATATATAATTAAATTAATTGTATATGTTGTTATATATTGTACATTAAAAATAGGCATATTATGATATAGCAGTTCTCCAAAATAATATTGCTCATTTAAAGGACCCAACAATACCCACAGTAACCACACAGAAATATTTCAATGGATACAAAGCAAGTGTCAATTTAACTGAAAATACAAAGGGGTGGTCTCAGGATAGCCCATGATTCTTAGTGTAGCCTATATGTTTACATCTTGAGCCACATCTCTTCCTCCCTCACTTCCCCAACCCAACATACCATACTCCGGCCACATTGAACTCCCCACTATTTATGCACCAGGCCCTCTGTGTCTTTGCACAGCCTTTTTCTTAGTCAGAAATGCCTTTGCCTCTTTCACATGCTGCAGTTAACAGCTCAGACCCTAAAACTAAACTACCTAGGTTCAAAATCCAGCTCTATTTATATTTGGCAGTTTCTTAATTGCTCTGTGCCTCAGTTTCCTCATCTGTAATATCGGGATAATAGTCATACTAGCCCCATAATGTTATCATGAGGATTGATTGCTTTAATATATGTGAAGTGTTTTCAACAGTATCCAGAACATGGTAAATGACAGCATTTAGGAGCTAATTGTTACCATTGCCTCTTTTTTTATTTTTTTTATTTTTTGAGACAGAATCTCTTTCTGTCATCCCAGGTACAGTGTAGTGGCATGCATCATCATAGCTCACTGCAACCTCAAACTCCTGGGCTCCAGCGATCCTTCTGCCTCAACCTCCCAAGTAACTGGGACTATAGGCGCACGCCACGACACCCAGCTAATTTTTCTGTTTTTTAGTAGAGACGGGGTCTCACTCTTGCTGAAGCTGGTCTCGAACTCCTGAGCTCAAGCGATCCTGCCTTGGCCTCCCAGAGTGCTAGGATTACAGGTGTGAGCCACCATGCCCGGCCTACCATTGCCTCTTAATGGAACTAATTCTCATTCTCTAAGGCTCAAAAGTCACTTTGTCTCTTAAACTTCATGAATATGTTGTGCCTATTTCTTCTTATTTTCAGTTAACCATTATGGATATATTTGAAGACAATTGTCATCTCCCATCTTCAGAAATAATCTTTACAGCCCTGGTACCCGGAGCAAAATTTCAGGGTGAGAACTCAGGGTTCTCCATGTCTTTGCTACTTTCTCCCTGCCCTGTACTAGGGGTTTCCCTGCCCTTCACATGATGGCTGTGAGGGTGTCCCCTGCATGAGCAGAAGCAGCAGAAGTGTGGCTGTCACATGGGCCACCTGCAGTATTAAATTGGGTTGTGGGGTTCCCCAAGTACAAGGGCCCACTCAGAATGAATTTCCCTCCCCCTTCTCTGTTTTCCCAAAGCCGATCCCATCCATTATTTCCAATTGCAGAATAGCAAGGAGTTGCTCAGCGAACAAAGCTGCTAATATTTCAAAGCAGAGAGACTGGCTCTTCCTGGCTTTGCTGCTTCCTGAAATGTGACTTTTAGCATGTCACTTCCTCTCCTGGGGCTTTGGTTCCCTCCACTGCCCAATGTCTGGACGAGTTACCTGGGCTCTAAGTTCACTCCTGTCTGGTCCCAGAAGAGAGCAGGTCTGTGACTCTAGGGACATTTTTCTCAAGGCAGTTCAGAAAGCAGTTACATTCTGCAAATAAAATCTGCAAAACTCTTTGTGTTTCTGGTCACCACTTGGGATTAGCAGAAATTTAGATGGGAAGAGGGGCAATAGGTTCTTGTGAACAGAGCCCTACTATTCATTAATTCAAAAAAGATTTTTATTGCAAGCATGCCAGTGCCAGTTGCTGAGGATATAGTAGTGATGAAAATAAAGAGAAACCTGCTCTCATGGAACTTATATTTTAGTTGGGGAAATGGGTAATAGGCAAGATAGATAGTAAAATTTTAAAAATATTTTTTCTCTAAAAAAAAATAAAGCAAGGAAGTGGCATATGAAATGTTCAGCAGGGTGATTAGTACCAGGAAAAGCATCTTCATGTTCCTCGCTATTTTTTGGCCTGAAAAATAAAAGTAACAGTATAAAGTCGATGAACATGCTACAAAAAAACAACCGTTTGCCCAATAAGTATCCATGGACACACACACACACACACACACACACACACACACACTCTCTCTCTCTCTCTCTCTCTCTCTCTCTCTCTCTCTGTCTCTTTCTACTGTGATCAGATGCTGACAAGAAGAGCAGGAGCTGTAAAAAATAGCAAATACTTTCTGCTGGTTAAAAGTGGTGATTATAAGGATGGCTGGGTGTGGTGGCTCATGCCTGTAATCCTAGCACTCCGGGAGGCCAAGGCGGGAGGATCGCTCAAGGTCAGGAGTTCAAGACCAATCTGAGCAAGAGTGAGACCCCGTCTGTACTAAAAATAGAAAGAAATTAGCTGGACAACTAAAAATATATAGAAAAAATTAGCTGGGCATGGTGGCGCATGTCTGTAGTCCCAGCTACTCAGGAGGCTGAGGCAGAAAGATTGCTTGACCCCAGGAGTTTGAGGTTGCTGTGAGCTAGGCTGATGCCACGGCACTCTAGCCCAGGGAACAGAGCAAGACTCTGTCTCAAAAGAAAGAAAAAAAAAAGTGGTGATTATAAGGATATAGAGAGTTAGTTTCCAGAGAGCCTCTGTTATCAGTATGTCTGTTATTTATTGTGTGTATCTGTGCGTGTACACCCAAGTGCATGTGTGCACACATATGTACATGGTGGTGGGGGTAGAGAATGCATAGATATCGCCTGCTTCCACTAAAGAAACATGCCACAAAGTCTGCAGAAAGACGTAATTGGATGCACAGCAGTAAAATTAGAAGTATTATTAACAACTTTAATTTCTGTCTTGATTGAGGTTTGAGCTGATTCAAGAATGTTTAAATGTGAATGAGATGTGAATGGTCAATACTAACCAGATCAGCGTATTTAAAAGATTGTTCACAGTATCATCTCTAACAATTTTATAAAATGTGTACATGAAAATGTATACAATTGTTGTGTAAGACACCTTCTTCACAGCATATCCTTGAGTCGGATACGTGCGTATACAGCTGTCATCTGTGCAAACAAGGGCAAGGGGCCACTAACAAGGATTTAGAAATGAAAACTTGGACTTTCTGCAAGAAGAGTAAAGATTCATGTAGAAAGCTTTTGGAAACAAAAAAGTCTTGGTCAATTCGAACCATTCCTTAAAAATAGAATGCTGGTATATACTCAGCAGCAAATTAAACTGCAATGGATATTTTCTTTCACCTCTTAGTCAGATGGTTATCTGGAAATTGATTTTCTTTTGTGCATCAGAGAGTAGATTTTTTCACCCAAAATTAAAAAGATAAAAAGAGATTAAGTTTCCAAATGATGATGTGTTGCTGATAACTTTATTGTAAGATCTTGCATCAACTATATAGTCTTATTAAATTTGTATAATGGAGGAATTTCTTTTTAGATTATCAATTTATTTCATAATCTTTGGGTAAATCCAGTAAGGTACGTGGTGTGTCTTATGCTGAAAACCTCACCCGTTGCCTGCCCCAGTAAAATGCCATGTAACTTACCCTCACAATTCTCTTTCCAGGATAACCAAGACAGATACAAATGGGTGAGTACCCTCCAGCCCGCAACAAGGGCACGCACCTTCCACGCAAGTGACAATCAGTACTAATATTACTTTTCTTTCTTATTTAGTTTTTATTTCACTACTCCAGAACTCAGGAGCCAACACATCCAGTTAAAACTGGGGTTAGTATTTTATCATAATCACATTTCTGTAAAAGCAACTCCCCTCCGCATGTCTTTTACTCCTTCCTGATTGATATGTGCAGACCAGTAGCAAAGCCGGGGCCTCCAGACACACCCTGGGTGGGACTTTCCTAGGAGCTTTTCCCTAGGGCTGCAGGGATTGTCTCTCTCCCTCTCTGTGGTGGCTGACAGATCCAAACAGTTAGAGAATAATTTATAGAAAAGAAAAAAAATAAGTAAGGAATAACTTTTATTATGCACTTAGACAGGTGGATAAGAAGAGCCTGGTAAATGCTGTGCTCTCCTTGCATGGTTCCTTATTACCTTCTGTTTTTCACATTTGTCTTTTGTGATGTGTAAAGTACCATCCTCCAATAGTGCTCCATGGATGTGCATCTTCCGTGGCTGTCACAACGTGTATGTGCAATGGGAATAACAACCATCACCTTTAACTTCCTTATTATAAATTTGAGTTACCCTCAGGAGCAGCTTGTGTAGGTAAATTTCTGTGGCATATGATTAAAGGAATATTGGGAAGGTCATAGAATATAATTTTTAATTCAGGTGCCTTTTCATAGCAACTGAAATTTTACCATTAGAAAGTTACTTATTTATATATTCAAGGCTTTCCAAGTCTTCAAGAGGATCCTTAAAAAAAGCAAATACTCATAAAAATCTTTTTTTCCCCCTAAGAGTCAATCAGTATTATAGGTCTAGGAAGGGGAATCAGGTAGGGAGGGGATCTTAACAAGACCGAAAAGGGCACCAAGAAGGGAGAGAGAACAATGGAAGGGGAAAGATAAACTGTCTGTTACACAAACTGACTTTTACTCTGAACCAAAGCACCCAGGGAGGATCCGTGAGGACTGGATAAGGACAGGTGGCTGTGCCTGGGTGTGTGTGGGCAGTCACAGACAAGTATAAGAAAATAGAAATGTGTGGGGCAGGGGAGGGTTAGGGTGCTGCCCTTCCACCTGGTCCCTTGGATTAGGAAGTCACACCTGAGGAGTGAGATGCATCTGCGTGGAGCTGCTTCTAGGACAACACATTCCGCTCTGGGAGTGCAGGGTGCTAGGGGTTAATACATGTCTAGAGTCTGATTTACCCCAAGGGGATATTTGTAAGTGATGTGTTGGAGTTGAAACCTGCAATCAAAACAAGCAGCTCTTTATTGAAAACATAAAATTTCAAGCTTAGGCTCGGAAATGGATTTTACTCTGAAAATTAAACCCATTTGTAAGGGAAGTGAGTCAAAAGGAATGCACACAGCCCGGGGCTCTCAAAATATTCCTCTGGTGTTGCTGTCCCAGCCTCCAGTCTTAACCCTCTCAGTGCCTCTTTGTCGCAGTTTCCTCCCGTGCATCCTTTAATGCGCCTGGCTGCCAAGCTCGCCAACAGACGGATGACAAGATTTCTGCAGCCAGTACGTGCCTTTTTTCTTCCACCGTAGTTTGATGCCACCCAAAGTTCATTTAACCGTGGTAAAAGCGTGTTGTTGCCTTGGGTTTCACTTTCTCTCCTTGAATCTCAGTCTTGGGTGGGAGCTCTGGGCAGAAATGCGGGTCCTTTGAACTTGAACTTGTCTAAGTTCCTCCACCTCTCTGGGCCTCAGTTCCCTCCACTGTACCCAGCCCCATGGCCCAGCATGGTTCCACTCCTCTCCTAATTTGCTCTTTTCATCCCTCAGTTTTGTTTGTCACTTCCCTGTCCCTTCCTCCCGACGTGGAAATTGCCCTGGTGATATCCTCTGTTCCCTATTGCCCTGCCTGCCCTTTGTCTATTTCTCAGAGATTTTTAAAGTTTTTTTTTCTATTTTTAAGTTTAGAAATTACCAGTTTCAGTAATAGCTGAACCTGTTCAAAATGTTAATCTAGGTTTTATTGCATGCTAGCATGAAAAAAAAGAAAAAGAAAATTTCTTTTGGACTTCCTGAGCCCAGGTAGGTGACCAACTAGTCCCAGCTTGTCCAGGACTTTCCTGGTTTTAGCTCCGAAAATCCCAAGCCGCCAGTCTCCGGAAAGCTGGTTGGTCCTAAGTGCAGGCAGCACTTTTTTTGATGCCTACTGACTGCAAGCTTCTGGTCCAGTCTGCCTCCATTCTTATGGCAGATTCACAGGCAGAGAACAAGCTGAAGAAGCTGTAGTGGCTTATCCTTGAAAATTTGCCTGAACCAGGGATCAGTTTCAAAGTTGGTGCTATTAGCAGAAGAAAGCAGTAACTTAACGTAGCTGGACACAAATGGTAATTCAACCAAGAAAGCAAGCTCGCTTCCGCATCAGGGACTTGTGATTGGCCACACTGTCGCCATTCTCTTTAACTGCTTTCTTGTGCCAGACTTCTGACCACCTTAGAATGGAAGCAGGGAGGGGCAGGATCACCCAGGCCAACTGCAAGGTTGTGGGTGTGGTTCCTGTTGAATTAACCTGTGCCTCATTCCCTCGCAGGGGTCAGGGGCTGCTGCAGTCCACTTTACCAAGAAGGTATGTGAGCCCTGTGGAGAACGCAGCCCCCAAAGACAGCTCCATGAGGGAAGGGCAGGGAGGGCTTGCAGCTGGCCACCCTGCCACCTTCCAGACCACTGTGGGAAGAACTGGTCTCACACAGGCCCCTGAGAACCTTCTGTGCCTGAGCATCTAAGTTTGGGTTTCCCTGGGGCAGGAAGAAACCATGGGGCAATGTCTCTGGCTGTTAATATTTCATCTCTGGTCTCACAAATGAGTCACCTGGGGCCATCTCCTCCTGGGAATCTGCGTTCTTTGGCTCAGGGACCCACATGCACAAACTCAGGGAGAGGCACTGCCATGCACAAACCCCCTACTCCAGTGGTTCTCAAACTCGATGGTGCATCAGAGTCACCTGTTAAAATCTAGACTGCTGGCCCCACCTCAGAAGTTCGGCAGGTCTTGGGTGGGGCTGAGAATTTGCATTTCTGACAAGTCCCCCGGTGTGGTTGATGCTGCTGCTCTGGGACCACCCTTTTGAAAGCCATCCCCACAGACATTTTTGAAAGACCCTTGGTGCAATGCGGTTGCATAACAGTTTATGTTTTTGTGTTGCAGGATTATGCTGCCACCCTGGGACGGCCATTTTTCCTTTTCAGGGTATAACATGTTTCCTCATCTCTGTTTTCTCACCATAATTCACTGCAACTGTCCCAATTATGGAGTTACTGCAGAATGGGCACAGCCAGGACCCCTGGTGACCAATTGTGGGGACTCTCACCCTTCACTGGGCATGACTCAAACTCAGAATCTCCTCCTACGAGCTTGTAGAGCAAAGGATCTGACATGACAAAGGCTGAGCGCACCCGAGTGGGGGGAGGAAGTGCTGCTCAGGGACAGACACAGAAGCAGACCAGAGTCTGAGTCCGTGTTTTAGAGCATTAGGATGCAGGACACATGGCCCCCAAAACACACTGGCAGGAGGAATCTAGGCACCATCCTCCCCTTCTTCCTAGAACACAGAGATTCTTGCAAACGTCACAGCGTCAGTTCTCTTTTAGTTTTTGGTCTGCCATTCCCTAGCTGTGCTCAACCACTGAGATCCTCAGTGTTTGCATAGAAAACTGAGCAAATCAGACTAGATCTGTGCCTCCAAACTGCGTTCTGTAAATCACTGGCACTAACAGGTACTCTGCAAAATCAGATAAGCTTGGAAAATGCTGAACATTTACAAAGATTCACATGCACCTGGCCTGTCACAGGCTCTGAGAAGTCCCACGGGAAACAATCTGTTTCACCTGACTTAATCATTTGTTTCCTAAACTTATTTGACCTCAGAGACTCTTCCCATCCCTCCCTACTTCCACCCCACGTACCCCTTTTTGGTCTACATGACCTATTATTGCATTATTCAGTGGAAAATACTTTGAGAAACCGTAGATCCCCGTGGTGTCTCCAGGCTGAACGGTCCTGATGGATGGTCTGCGGATCTCACCACACAAGCATCGGCTAATGGGTAGAGGTGATGGGTGTGAGATGGTGTCAGGGTCCTAGGAGCAGCAAGAGTCCTAGAGCACTGCCCCAGAGGACCTACAGACCAGCACTAGCATGGGGCAAGGGCTCACCAGGTGGGTCCCCGAGGAGGAAGAGGAATGAAATCCCGGTTAGAAGAATGAGGCCTTAGGGCTCTGTACATAGAGGAACTGGACCAAGATATAGGCCTCAGACGGTTTTGTCTCAGTATCTGTAAGTCACTGAATTTTTTTTCAGCCAAGAAATGGAAGAAACATTGAAGACAAGGCCCAGTAGATGGTCCAAGGTCAGCTCCATGTTAGCTTTTGTTTTCCAAGCAAATGTTATGTGTTTGATTGGGGGGAGTGAGAGGCAGCCAGGGGGGCCATTGTTCAAAGAAAGGGGGACCACCTGGAACCCCCAAGGGCTCTGCTCCCTCTCTTTTCCCACCCACAGCACCACGGAGACCCCCCACCCCAGTCTGGCAGAAGCAGGCGGTCCCAGACAACATTACAGCCTTCACTTCCATGCCCTTGGGAGTATGTCAGCTCCAGCTTTAGGGGATGGGGATGAAAGCTCTTCATAGCCCAGCTGGCCCCTCTGATAAGGAAAACACAACCCTGGCATGCCTGGGTGGTGCACCGACGAGCCCCTAGAAGCTACCAGGCTCCCTACAGTGGGAACATTTCTAAGAACACAGCCAGGCAAAGCTGTTCCCTCCGATCCAATGATGCTCTGAGACCCAGAGTTTAAGTCTGGGGAGATTCCTTGGCCTTCAGGCCTGCGGGAGAGGAAAGCCATGCACAAGGGAAGCTCTGGGACTCCTCTGTCTCTCATGATGATGTGGTCCCAGGGACATGTGGCCACTGTCCTATGGTTGCTGCCAGCAGGCAGCAGCATTCAGGGCCCCAGAAGTCCAAGGTGCCTGACATGGCTGTCCCACTGCTGGGAGACAAAATACCCAGCAAACACAAGGGGAAGATGTTCCCTTAGGCCACGGCACTTACACCAATTTAATAATAGCCTAATTAAATACAACAAAAACAAGTCTTATAGGTACTCATTGGGGGAAAGTGATCTGGGCATTTATGACATGTCAAGTTGAGGTATAATTTGAAAATACATTACATAATAGCATGCCCATGGGCCTTGTCTTCATTCTGAGAATGATTTGACCTGAGCTGTACACTTCTTTTCTTTTTCAGGATTCAATAGCACAGGAAAGCTGGATCTGATGAGGACATTCAGTGATTATTTTGAACAAATGTCACATTTCTTTCTGCAAACAATATTTAAAGATATTTCTTTTGCTCTGTATGCACTAGAATATTTAGTTGTATAAAAATAAAGTAGCACTGTGTGATATTGTGAAATATATATTTGGTCCTCCTCCTGTTTCCTGGCATATCTTCAAAGTGATAAGCATCTTTTGTGTGATGAGTGGACTGGTGGCTGGCAGCCCCTAGGTAGCTTGAGGATGGGGCTGGTCACCAGAAAGACCAGGGCAGGATTAGATGGTTTTCAGGGTTTTCAGCCCCACCCCCCAACCTCAGGGGAGGGAGGAGAAGCTGAAGGTTAAGATGATCACCAATGGCCAATGATTTAATCAATCATACTTAATGTGAAATTAAATAGCTTAAACTTAAAGCTGTTGGAACTTTAGATTATTTGAGCCTTGAGAGAAATGTGACTGTGTGGTCTGAGTCACATAGCATGTAGCTGCAATTTCTGCTTCTCTAATTATAGATTAACTGTCTTATTTTTTATTCTGTAAAATGACTAAGAATGAATGGTGCCAGAGATAAGACCCCTCCCCTCTTAATTACTGGCTTTTCATTATTGATTAACTTCTTCCTTTATTGTTTTGTCCCCAACTCAGACCAGATGGTACAAAAGACCTTATGACTATTACATCCGCAGTGTGGAATGTTAAATATCCTTTCTAAAAAAGAACACAGCCTATAAGCAATCAAATTGTCGTAACTATGTACTAACCTTGTATGGAAAATGTTGAGATCCTATTAAGCTTCCCCAAACCTTGACAATATAAACGATCCTCAAACCTTTCCACTTCAGAATGCTGATTCTATTCATTTGGAGTCAGCATTAACAGGTGGCCATCCTCAAACTTTAAGTCCAAATAAACTCCATATTTAACCATATTTTCTGAATCTCATTATTTAAGGCTGATGTTATGTAATGAAGATTCCAGAAAAATCCAAAGGACAGGGCTTTAAGAGCTCCCAAATAGCTGAACACGTAGAGGTTCCTGGAGGGTGGTGCACCGAGAGGGGGCGTAGAGCTTCCCACACGCCTTGCCCTAAGGATCCCTTCATTTGTATCCTTTGTACTGTCCTTTACAAGAAACCAGTAAACACGAGTGTTCCCCCGAGTTCTATGAGCTGCTCTAGCAAATTAGTTGAACTTTGATTTACAGCCGGTCAGTCAGAATGACAGGTAAAACAACCTGGGGCTTGCCACTGGCATCGGACACCCAGCTTGTGTCTGCTGCAGAAGTGATCGCTTGCTTGGGGAAAAACCACACACACATTGTGGTATGAGAGCAGAGGAAAGACTGTTTTTACACCCATTTTCACTTCGTATTGGAAAGTCTTGGTGGGGAGGTGTTGGGTGTATTTTTTAATAATAGAATACATTTTTTAAAACTTACCATCTTTGGTATTGGTTTAGCATCCCCTAACTGTCTTGTTATTATTGAGAGTTGAGGGTATGGAATTGGGATAGGCTGGCTGGCTTCAACTCTTGTCTCCTCTGCTTTTAGCTGGGTAACCTTGGGTAGGTCAATGCCCATCCCTGTGCCTCCGTTTCCTTTATGGTAAAATGGGGTTGGTAGTACTAGTACCTTCTTCACATAGATTTTGTGAGGACTAAGGAGATGGTCCATGTGAAGGGCTTGGCATGGTGCTACACAGTGAACACTCAATAAACGTTGGCTCCAATTACACTTAAAAGATGGTTTTCATTACACGAAGTGTACCAAAAGGACTTGCCCCCACGAAAGCTGTTTCTTTATTGCTGACAGCATTAAGTTAAGGCATAACAACTCCAACCTCTCCAGAAAACCATGAGGCTCAGGCTCCAGTCTCAGCCTCCCAAGTAGCTGGGCCTACAGGCACACACCACCACACCCAACTAATAGTTTCTAGATTTCTGATGAAATTCTTGATTTTGTCTTTTTTTATCCTTTAACATAATAAGAATAGATATTTTTAGAGTTTGTTTCTGATAACTATATTATCTAGATTTCTTTTATGACTGTTTCTATTGTCTGCTATTTCTCTTGTTTTCATTTACTGCTCACCCTTACTCTTCCAGTTCTTTAGGGTCCTGACTGAAGTAGTTGAGAGTTTGTCATGGGCTTTCCCATTGCGTACTGTAGTCTCTAATTTTTGCCCTCTCACCCCATTAGAGTGGCAAAAATTTCTGCCCAGTTTTCAGTTTCACAGCTACTTTTCCTGGAACCCTCAGACGTCCCTAGAAGAAATGTACCACCCTGGAAGGCTTAGTTTGTTTGCCTTTCTGGGTTTACATCTCAATCAAATCTTGGTCCTGCAAGTCTTCACTGCCATGTTATCCTTTCTGAAACCTAGGTACCAGAGAAAATCTAGCAAAGTCCTTGAAGACACAGGGACAAGAGTGTTCACGTGGTTTGTCTGAGCAAAAGAGTTATTGCTGGGTGTGGTAGCTCATGCCTATAATCCAAGCACTTTGGGAAGCTGAGGTGGGAGGAGCGCTTGAGCCCAGGAATTTGAGACTAGCCTGGGTAACATAGTGAGACCCCCTCTGTACAAAAAATAGAAAAATTAGCCAGTCATGGCAGCATGCATCTGTAGTCCCAGCAGTTCAGAAGGCTGAGGCAGGAGGATTGCTTGAGCCCAGGAGTTGATGTTGTGGTGAGCCTCAATACTGCCACTGCACTCTAGCCTGGGTGACAGAGCGAGACCATGTAAATAAATAAATAAAGTTGTAAAGAAGCCAAATGTCCATTAATGAGAGAAGAGATAAACATTGTTATTCATAAAAATGAAATTTATATAGTAGTGAAATTGAATGAACCATTTACACGAAGTTAAAAGAGTCTTAAAATCATGATGTTGAATAAAACAAGCAGGATGTTTTTTATAGCAAGATAACATTTATATAAGTTGAGCACCTTGGTGAGAATAAATATCAAATTTAGGAGAGCAGTGATTCCTGAGAGGAGGAAAACTAATACAAACCAGGAAGTTTACAGCAGAGCTTTAACTGTATTGGCAATTTTTTTCTTAAGGTGGTAGTGGGTGTGTTGGAAGTCAGTTGTGCAAAAAGTAACGATTTATAAATGAAGAAAATAATGTACAAATAAATTTATATGGAAACACAAAAAGGAAAAGATTGTTTTTGTCCAGGACAATCAAGGAGAGGGGTAGTTCTTGAATTGGTCCTTCAAGGATCTACAGGATGTCTGTAGATGGTGATGGAACAGTGTCCCCAACAGAGAGAATAACACAGAGACAGGGAAATGGGGTAATGTAGGGCATGGTCCAGTGACAAGTACCCTGGTCTGACTATAGGGCAGAGGGCATAGCAGGGGGTTCTTCATGCCTTCTTCCACCATAAGCAATGCCTACCCCAACCCAAACACACACACACTGCCTGGGTTTAAATTCTACCTATGCCTCTTACTATTTGTGTAATCTTGACAAGTTACCTCGCCATTTGCTGCCTCAGTTTCCTCACCACTGATGTGAGCACAGTAAGAGAAACTACCTTGCAGGGTTGTTCTAAAAGTATTACATGAGTTAGGCTGGGCGCGGTGGCTCACGCCTGTAATCCTAGCACTCTGGGAGGCCGAGGCGGGTGGATTGTTTGAGCTCAGGAGTTCGAGACCAGCCTGAGCAAGAGCGAGACCCCGTCTCTACTAAAAATAGAAAGAAATGATCTGGACAACTAAAAATATATAGAAAAAATTAGCCGGGCATGGTGGTGCATGCCTGTAGTCCCAGCGACTCTGGAGGCTGAGGCAGTAGGATCGCTTGAGCCCACGAGTTTGAGGTTGCTGTGAGCTAGGCTGACGCCACGGCACTCACTCCAGCCAGGGCAACAGAGTGAGACTCTGTCTCAAAATAAAAATAAAAATAAAAGTATTACATGAGTTAATCCTTATAAAGAATTTAGGACAGCATCTGGCACCTCCTAAGTACTCAGTGCTTGTTATTTATTATTGTTAGCACAGCATAAGCAAAGGATCTTCTACCTTGGGGACAGTGTGAATCCTGTGCTGGGGAGGTCGCCAT